CTATGTGCCCCCCCCCCCCGGGGCATGGCGAGAATATATTTAGGAACATCGAACAGGCCCCTACGTGGGAAATAAGAATGGACGAAGGTAAGGAAGGGTAAATCGAATGGACTAGTAAGGAAATCGCCTCGGTTACTGGAAATTATAATAGGCTCGCGCGAAGTAAATGGAATGAACTGGTAGGTAAATAAATCGAATGGACTAGTTACCGGGAATTAGAATGGGCTCGCACGAAGTAAATAGAATGGACTGGGGTACTAATAAATGCAATGAACTGGTGGGTAAGTAAATCGAATGGACTAGTTACCGGGAATTAGAATAGGCTCGCGCGAAGTTAAATAGAATGGACTTAGGTTCGAGTAAATCGAACTGACTCGGACCGGGGTAAATCGAATAGACTTGGTCGGTCGGGTTACGGCGAAAGTGTTGGCCGAATTATATAGCTAGTGATGGTCTACCGGGATTAGGAATATATATATTTCTACCGGTCATATTTTCATAGACCGGTCCCGCACCCGCACTCTATCGATAGATCTATGATTTTAAAATCCTTACTACTACCTTAATTAAATACTAATTGATCGTAGATTATAATGACTAATACGGAACTACTGCTCCTCTAAGTCCCGTAAATCTAGAGTTCGTAGCTACCCGGGAAAATCGAAAAGAATAGGGTGGATAGTAATTAAATCGAATAGACCTAAATAGAAATCGCTTGTAGATATTAGAACTCTGTAAATCTACCGGTCGCACCTAAATAGTCGGGTAGTCCCGCACCCGTACCCTATCAAGAGATCCACCATTTTGAAAACCTTACTACCACCTAAATTCAACCCGAATCCTTCTTAGATTGTAATAGATTGTACATAACTACTAGTTTTCTAAACTGACACAATCTAGGATTAGTAGCTTACCGGGAAGGTTAAAGAGAATGTAGTATAAAAAGTGAAATCGAATGAACTAAAATCGGAAAAGTGGGGCCTAACAAAACAAATCGCGTCGACCTGATCCGATTTACCCCCATGGGATAGAGTATGACGAGAGTATGAGTCCTATTGGCATATGCCCATGTAGAGACCCATTGGAATGTTCTCAAAGTCAGGAAGCTGATGCAGCACATATAATATGAGGTTGACTACCTCCGTAGGCCAGTAAGGCCGATATAGTCTGCGAATAATCCTACCAGCTTACTCATGAATAATGATAATTTATCCCATCCATCGAGGAGGCAGGTGGTATTTGATCATCTATATTGTTGGAAGAATGGTAGTTTGCAGAGTCTCCTCCATCCCCTATCCTTGCACTCTTGTCTGTTCTAGCCACATCACTCCACCTCGGGTTCTAGCATGGCAATCATAAGAGCGCCTGCTGTTTTCTTTGATCAAGCTTATCCAGACAACACTGCATGAAGTCCAGTAGCTTCTCACCCTGTGCAGTATCCGTTGTTCCAATGGATAAGACGTTGCTTTGCTTTTTGTCAGAAGTGTTTTGTGAGAGGATCGGCATGATCGAGACTTTGACATACGTGATATGATTATGTTTCTCCTGCACCTGTAAGATTGGTAGTGTGCCAGTAGGAACACTTCGTTCCCGATAGGCGTTGAAGAAGGCCACAGTTGCGTTAGCCGTTTCTGGTCTAAGTTCCAAGTATTGTTAGATTATTATCCTGTATAAACTCTTTTCAGTAATCCCATGTGATTGACGTACACTTCCCATTCGACACTTCCGATATATACCGGTAAGTGCTTAGAATCTCTATCCGAAATGTTAGTATAAGTGATGAGGGCTTAGTGATGAATAATCAGGTAGGTGATAATCTTACAGCAATGGGGAATCACCTGGCAGTGCTTTAAATAGTCCTAGTGCGGACAGAGGCTATGGGAAATTTTAGATCTTGGAAGCGCTTAGCGAGAGTGTATATTACTCACCCCCCAGACTTTTTCATCATCCGTCCCGTAATAACTGCGAAAAACTTTATTTCGGACAGGCTTTCTCATATCACACCAGAAAGGTACACTCAAGAAGATGAGTCCCGCCACCGGGGGGAAAATTGGGGACTTCGGTGTTCGTTTTGGATCGCCTGCTTGTTGTCAACAAGGAGCCCCAGGTCTCGTTGTAAATCACGCACCTGCGGCATATAGGTTCATGGCTAGATGGGCACCACCAGAGGAGTGCCCGAGAAGGATAACTTTCTCTGGCGATCCTTGCCCGTACTTTGGTGCTGCAATGTTGTGGAAAATCCACTCCCGAGCCATCTGCATATCTTCGGCTCCTCCAGGATAGGTGACGTTGGGGACAAGTCGATGATTTGCCAGTACAGTAACATATCCATGCTTAGCGAAGAACCATCCGATATTCCCCCAGATCTTGTAGGATTCAATCAGTCATATACTCTCGGTAGGGTTTATAGCAAAAAGCATGTACCTTTTCACTCCATCCTTTACCTCCAGAAAAGAATCCACCTCCGTGCACGAATAGAATGACTGGTTTTCCCTCCTTTTTGTCGTTAAGAGGGAAGTATACATCGAGCCGGTTACGTTCAGCCGGCCCGTACGCCTCGTCCTTCACCGTGGTAATGCCCTCATAGGAACTTGCATGCAGCGGCTCGTACAGGCCTCTCCAGTACTATTTCGCGTCAGCCTCGAGAGTATCTTCGCTTGTTAGGATTTGAGACTTTACCTCGTCATCCCCGATATCGAACTTAATGGTGTCCTTAGCTATCTTTGCGAAAATGCCCTCCATGATGCTTGTTTCTGAAATCTGGGTGAGAAATGCAAAGCCCACATGCGGGTTGGAGGGATTAAATCCCATGAGCCGTTGAAGGAGCTATTGACCCATACCCGTGAACCACGATCCCTTTTCCGGACCCACAACTACAACTACACCTCAAGAACATAAATGTTGATCTAATTAATACTCCCTGTAGTCTGGGAAGCTCGCGCACTGGCCCACTTGTTGTGCAGGCCCATTACAAATTGTCTACCTCGGTATACTATCAGCCTAACCGCATGATTTTGCGTTCTCTCAGGCTACACTGGTAGATAGATCAGCGGGGTTTCTTACAGCAAGTAGACTCAATCAAAATCAGCTCTTCCTTTGTGCATCTGGGCGTTTCCTGTGATTGTCAGTGCGCATCGAGCACAGGCCCCGCTCTAGCCAAGATTGTCTTTATGAACGGCTAGTCCCACGAGCAATAGTCCCCTCCCGTCACATCGTGGCTGGAAGTGGCGATCGATCATTCCTTCATGATTTGGAATCTGGTCCACGGGGTGTAGGAAACGAAATTTAATCCTTAAAGCTGAGAAGGAGATAACTAAGGCTTTGCTTGGTGTTTCTAATCTTCATATGCTCAACTGTTCCTATGTAAAGCTGACTCAAATCACCCATAAACGTCGCCGACATACACGGACAGAATTAGCTTTCAAATGCTCAGGTCAGCGTCAACCATATTACACCAGAAGCAGCTACCTCGCCGCTCAGCCTTCAGCGATAGCCATTGGATTGAAATCAGCTCCATTATCCAACTCCGCACCGTGATAAGCACGCCTACCTAGATGTAGAGGGATTACAAAACCATCTATATCGCAAATCTTGGTCGCTTATCGCACCGCCCACCTAGACTAGGACAGTAGACCTGTGGTTCTACAAGATTATGCTTGAGCTCCTTGGCGTTATAGATAACAGCGAGCTCGATAGGCCGGAATGGGTCCATGATTGGGAACATATCCGAGTTGAACGCCACCCAGTTGCCGAATCGTCGGGATGTGGACCCCGCGACCGACTGCCGCGATGCAATTCCGCTGAGTTTTTAAAGGTTTATCCCATATATCGAGTACAAAGTGACGTATAATTGGTAGTCCCTATGATTGACTTTGAGCTGTGAATCTTCTCCGAATTAAGCTTCTGATGGCTGCTCATCGTCTGCAATTATGTCGTGTTAAAGTGGCGGAACAATTGTTTGTGAGGACTCCCATCGAATCCAACACACAGTCAATCCTCACAGCTTAAGTAATTAATTCAATTAACTAACTATTAGTAGCGATTCGCCTCTTTATTCGGGGTTAGAGACATTTTCTACCTTTATATGAGAAATCGTATCTTCCCGCTTAATACTAAGACTTCCTAAAATAGTTAACAATGGTAATGATAAAGTATTCCTCTACACGGGCGTATATGACCAGGAACAGTCACGTGTTTATCCAGGATCATATAAATATAGGCCAGTAGTAGGTCTTTTTTCGTTATAGTCCCGTTCGTCTTATAGCGAGAGGGAAACGGTGGAGAGATAGAGGTAAAGCAGAAGGGAAGTAGAAAAGGGTAAGGGTAATATAGTCTCTACTCCCGTATCGCGAAATCTTTCACTTAATCGAAATATATAAAAGCGCCTTTCAAGGGTAGGGATTCAGGCCTCTAGATAAAGAACATTTAGATAAGTGAACTGCCGCCTAAATCCGCCCGAACCTGCCTAAAGGCCGACGGCGTAAAGCGGTTCCCTGCAAAATTCCCTGTCCGCCAATTCCCCGAATAGCCGATCATCCCGGATACGCGGGATTCCCAGGATTCATCGACCACCAGCACACCATCCTCGAATCTTCATTGAATGGACGTCACACTTTGACTTCACCACCACCGCTCAGGTGAAAGGTTACTCTCATCAATTTCCAGACCTGCTAAAATCTCACCTCGGCAAACACAATAATGAAGCCAGAAACCCCCCTCTCCGGATCAACCTCGGTCTTCCACTAACTTTATGACCAGTAGGATTACCACCCGATCACCAATCCGGGCATTCATCCGCTAGTTTAAATCGGCTTCCAGATTAATTCTCCGCATCGACAACCCGCAAGCAGGTAGTTATGTGCGTTTTGGGCGGGTGTGACCCACCTTACCTGCAGAAGTAATGCCCCTCTATACTTCCTCGGACACAGGACCTATAGAGATGCCGCCCTTCCCGCAAGTCGACGCTTAATACCTTCAAGAAACATCACGGCAGTCCTTCACGGCATATCCTGGCCGTGCCCTGGGCCAGAATTTGACCGATTGGCCTCTCTCTTCCGTGAAGCGAGCGCTGATCGTAGACAAGTGGGGCCCGTTGCCTTCCCCGCATGATGTATATTCGCGGATCGTTCTCGGATAGTCTATGAATGAGACTCTTAGAGCCTGAGAAGTTGGTGGTTTTGTGTGCAAATTTCGCGGTAAGGTCATTTCCAGGGGAATTTTTCTACTATGTCCGCTCTTGCGATTGGCTTTCTCGCTGTGTGGGCAGTAGCCCATGCAGCTCCTAGCGCAAAAACCGCTCCAACAGTTGTATTCTTCTGTTACTATAGGTTTTAGGTTTGGTTTGGCAACCTCTAGAATTCATTGATTGCTTGATCGCTTCTCCATTCTTCTACGCAAAGTACTCCGCTATTATTATCAACGACCAATGGGATGGATGCTTGGGCGTTTTCGAACGATAATGAGCCTTGGCTTGTGGTTATCGTCTTATCGTGTATCGGAGCGATCAATGGGGTATTTTAAACCTTTTTTCCATCCCATCAACTTCATATACTGATTGCCTATTTCAATTCAGGCCCACTTTACTCCACTCCCACCTGATTCTTCTCATTATTAGACGATTATTCCATACTGATTTCGCTGTGGCAGGTTGATTAGTTGATCGGGGGACCCGATTTGCTCTCATTTCCCCGCTTATCAGTTTCCCCGCTTATCAGTTGTGAAGGTCCAGTCGGAACATAAATCCAGCTGGCCCCTCTTTCGAGCCAACCACCATTCTTCTTTCTTTCGCGCTCTAATCCAATCCAACAGGCAATTTCAGCTCTCATCAGGTTGCCGATGCCACGTCCAAAGGTACGCCCTGAAAATCGCCAACGATCTTGTCGAGCATGCTTGGCTTGCAAGGCTTCGAAAATAAGATGTGACGCCAGAGACCCTTGCGGTTCATGTCTGCGACGTGACCAGGGCAACACATGCGTATACTCGGGTGTTGACCGACGACGCAAAGGCCAAGGCAAGCCGCGGGATGTGGTGTCCGTGGACAAAGTTGCCTCCTTGCTTGTTGGCCTTTCGAGCCCTCATGCATCTCCAAATGCGCCTGCTATTCCCATGGAAACACCAAGTTCAATAGACCGAGCTACTCCTGCCCTTAGCCCCCACGCAAAAGCAGTAGAACACGTCGCCATGGAGCAAGAGCCAGAATCATACGCCTCAGACAGGGTTGGAAAAGGTGTGGCATCATTCTGCATAACATCGCTCTCCACAGGCTGATTAAAATTAATCTAGTGTACATGGGGGAGACATCTTCGCTATCATTCCTTTATTTTCTGAAACGTACTATAAAAGGGTACATTGGATCAGTGCCTTTTACAGAGGAAAGGGGTCATCAGGTCAATGTGGAGACACAAGACAGTGCCGTGAAGGGCATGGCTCAACCCCTCTCCTTCGATGATAGATGTTCTCTCCTTGATTCATATTTTGAAGCTGTCAGTACTACGCCCCCACAAGCAAACTAAATACGAACGGCGCTCATTCTCTATAGACTAGCGGTATCTTAGACCTTTTTACGGCATACGAGGTTGACCAGCTCTTATCTGAGGGCCCCAGTTCGGGTCAAAACGTTCTCTCTCGGTCTTCTCAATCGTCTAGTGATCTGAAGGCTACATTTGACCTCGTGTTCGCCATTGGGGCTCAACTACGAGGTATTAGCAACGACTCGAAAATTTCAACTTCTTATTTTCTGCGCGCTCGCGCTGCAGCCTTTGATGGCATGTTGATGTCTCAAACTCTAGACACAGTGCGGCTATTTACACTCCTTGCGTTCTATACACTTGGTGCATGTAACCGAAATGCTGCATCTATGTTTCTGGGAATTGCAGCTAAAGCTGCGATCATTTTGAACCTTAATGCCACCGAAATTGATCAGAAACTCCTAGCAGAGGAGGTTAACACTAGGTAAGGCTTGCATCTACCGCTTGTGCTCGTACTCCGTGGTTTACCACCTGCTGAAATACGTCCCAAAGAATCCGATTTTGGAATAGCGTTCAAAACCTTGATATTTTGAGCAGCTTCATTTTTGGACGACCAAAAAGTTTACCCGCTATTTGCCCCGATCTAGCTGAACCTGTGCAGTTCGATACTGAAGGTGGACGAAATTCACCACCTCTGTTTACTGCAATGGTCAAAGCATGTAATCTACTTGACTATATCGTGGATACGTTAGGAAAGAGTTACAACATTCTGCATGTCCCTACTGCCGAGGAGTTGCTCAGACAACTCCGCCAGTGGAGTCGCGAATTACCTCAACATATTCGTCGGTTTCCCGTGAATTGTGATCCGAATGCCACCATCCAACCTGCGGATCGTCAAGCGCTCCTCGGAAGCTTACACGTCTCGTGTGTGTATTACTTCTCCGTGATGTTGATTACGCGCCCGTTTCTCGTGGCATACTTGATGTCGAGACTTCGTGGCAAAGCACCAGATGACCTTATCACCGACCCGGACGAAGCCTCAGATATCAGCATCAAGAACAGCAAGATATCCAGATTAGCGCAGGTCTGTGTCAGTTCGGTCACAGAGATGGTTGATATGTGTGTCAAAGCCAGGGATTGCAGTTTTACTTTCCGCAATCTCAGTATTCTTGAGTAAGGTCCTCCGTGCTCTTTAAGCAATTTATTGAATTTTTCTGCGCTAGACACACCTACTGACAATTTATGGACAGGGCATGGATCTTCGGTGCGGGCTTGGTTCTGGGATTCTCAATATTTGGTGGGGAACCCCGCAGGGACATTGAGAATGCCTTTCACAGCGTGCAAATCATTCTGGGAGATATTGCATTAAGTAGCCAGCAGGCTCGGCTATACCATAACATCCTCACGAGCTTTGCCGATGCCATCAAGAAATACAGACAGCGAGTGGCTGAGGAGAGGATTTACACAGTACAGCATTACATGGATCGGATACTGACTTTCGAAGCACCATCAGATGAGAACAACGCCAGCAGAGAACGTCTCAGCAGCGCTCCCAAGGGATCGGAGGACAGATGGTTGTTTTTGGCTACTACATCCCAGCCACCAAACTTTTTTGATTTAGCAGATCTACCACCATCTTCGATTTCGAACGACAGCTTTGGTATGGGAAATCACGACTGGCTAGGAGGTACGCATGGATTTTTGGACTGCTTTCAACCGGAGCTTGAATCATTTAGTCATTTGTTCTACACAGTTGAGTGAGCTTTGATTCTCATCGCGTGTAAAACTACAACAATAAAGTTTTTTGTATACATAAGCCAGATAGCCGTCAACATGCGGAACGAATGATATCATCGATCCAACGGAACATTCCTGATAAGCGTCCCGTTTTTTACGCAAGGTTTCCGATGATATATCGTTCGCTATTGGGATGGATGATTTTGGAGCGGTATTATGGCCGTCCTAAACAGATCTTGATCTTCGCTATGTCTCCTCCCTTCTGGTCTATTTTATTAGTGTTCCATCGCGATATTTTCGCTCGGCTTTGCTAATTTACATTGCATCTGGTTACAGTTACGATCAACTGGTGGCGAGGACAGCCTGGGTAATTTCTCACATTCACCCAATACCAAGACCAATATTACCATCGCAAATACGCCATTTTCGCATATTTCCATACCAAAGAGAACCTCATGCATTATTAGGCGGGCGTATGTACGCAACTGATATAGCCGAGCGGCCAATCAGGGACTTTACCGATACCTATATCATACGGCCCCTAGACCAAATTTGGGAACTCTTCATGATCGGGAGAGTTGGCACGCAGTTGGTTGCTCTTGGTGATTATGCTGATGGCATTTCCGCTTAGCAATTAACGAGAACTTTGATTAGAGCATTGATCATCAATCTGGTGGGGTTCAACCGGGCGGCTATGGACCGCTCACTGACCGAGGATGGTAGTTCGGATTCCTTGTGACAATAATTCCGGGGTGCGCCAGCCGGCGGGGTATATACTGCGGAGATGAGGATGTAGGGTCATTTACCCTGGTTGGTGAATGGACTAGAGAGCTGATTCAACAATTAGAGTGCTAGTAAGCCACTGGTTTCTTGGATGACTCTGGCAGTCCCATTGATTCAATTCCTGTCAACATTGATCCAACTACCACCACTATGCTGACAAGGTACAAACGCTAGCTCCTTGAAACATGCTTTCCTCTAACTACTGATCATTAATCATCATTTGCCTCAGGTCGGAAGTCGAACAACATTGTACCAGGAAGAGCTGCTGGACGATCATTGACCAAACTGTCTATGATATTACAGACTTTTTGGACCAACATCCAGGAGGAGCAAGCATTTTACTTCAATATGCTGGAAATGACGCAACAAAGGCATTTCAATCTATTCACGAGGCCGACATCCTTACTAGGTACCTTGCTCAAGAGTACGGTTAACCCTGAGTGCTTCATCCAACGCAGAGCTGAATTTAGCTTTAGACAAATCCTAGGACCCGTTTCGACAGTGCAGGAGGAGAAGGAGTCCAAAACTGCGGCCATTTCAGAGAAAAAAGTGCGACTCTCCTCCGTCATCAGTATTCTGGATTTTGAATACGCGGCATCGCAGAATCTCCCCCCAGCTGCCTTTGCATGTTAGTGCTGTCAACTACCGCATCCTTGAAATATTCTAACTTCCGTCAAGTTATCAAGACAGGCGCCGAAGACGAACATGCAGCTAAATGGAACCGTGATTCCTGGAAAATTATTCGTCTGCGCCCGCGTGTACTTCGGCCAATCGATCAGGTTGACATTTCGCAGTCTATTCTGGGAACCAAGTTCGCTGCGCCCTTTTTCATTTGCCCGGCTGGAGGCTCTAAGCTCGCTCATTCCCAGGCTGATTTGTGTTTGACTAAGGCTGCTGGTCGTCAGCATATATTGCACTGGGTATGCAACAACACTCATATGTCTCAGGAAGGTATGAGCAATGCACGTGCACCTGATCAAACCACATTCTGGCAGATTTATGCAAGATCAGACCTTGATGTTACGACTCAAGAAATCAAACAAGCGATCAAGCTGGGATATAAGGGGTTTGCGCTGACTGTAGATGCCGTTCGTGCCGGCAAGCGAGAGCGTGATTTACGGGTGACCTATGCTCAGCGTGAACAAGACGATATGATGGTTAACGATGATGATGAAGACGAGAACTTTGCTGGAGAACCTTCGGTGGGGCGACCGTGAGAACCCTTCCTTTTCTTTGTTGTTTTGAACCATACTGAACAATAAATAGGGCAGTGGAGTCTAGTCTTGACTGGATTTCTGCTATGAAATGGCTTCGAGGTATAACTGACCTGCCTTTGGCCATCAAAGGGGTTCAGTGCTGGGAAGATGCGGTGCTATGCATGGAATATGGTGCTCATCCGTGGGTTTCAAATCATGGAGGCCGCCAGCTAGATTCGGCTCCTTCAGCGGTGGAAACCCTAGTCTCCATGCGCCAGAACTGCCCAGAAGTCTTCGAAAAATGCGAAGTTATTGTCGATGGCGGTATCACCCGAGGTTCCGATATTGTCAAAGCCCTTGCGCTCGGGGCCAAGGGTGTTGGATTGGGCAGAGCCTTTCTCTATTCCGTGGCATTTGGCGAAGCAGGTGCCAACAAGGCGATGCGCATCTTGAAGAATGAAATCGAGACGACAATGGCCTTACTAGGCATTACTTCGCTCGATCAACTGAACAGTTCCTACGTATGTTTCTTAATCATCGATCTTGATCCCGTCGTATTTTCACGCTAACTTACCGGCATGCAGGTCGATATCTCTTCTATCCCACTTGGCGTTGTGAGATCAATGCTTTAGACATTTGGCGATGAAATAAAGTCCTTATTTCCCATTGGAGGACCAAGCAGTCAGGGATGGAGCTTTCACAGCGGGGTTCTTTGTGCTTCGTTGATAAAGATTTCCTGTTCAGCAGATTTCTTATTCGATCAGGCCCTTCGCTATCGACGCATCGGCCTGTAAGGGGGCTTATCTGCCCATTTTCCCTTCTATTTTCCTGATCATGTTTAGACTAGCTGATAGAATCTATTCCATCGATATTTCTTGTACGCATACGCAGTTCCTTTCTCAATCATCGTATCATCATCAGGCGTTTTAGTCTCTGTACCGAATGTTCATTGCCACTGTGCATCGGAATTTCTATTTTATGGGTCGGGCTGCGTTATAGCAAGTCAGTAAGGATAAAAGTGACTTGTTGGCGCTTTGGCAAGCCGAAAGTGTCTTGTTGGTGAATTCGTATGACGAAGAGTGTTAGTGTCATTCCATGTTCAAACCCGCAACTGAAATCCATGACAAGCTACTGAATGCTACCTTCGCGTGTGAATGTTTCTCATTTAAAATAATAAACACCTATGCTTCTATTTAGTAGATGGTACATGCAATTATTCGACCGTGAAGTCCCATATCATTACCTTTTCACGGTGGCCGATCGCGGACACCAGCTAATAACTAATTCTATTTGGGAGAAAAATCACCAGAATCAAATCTCTAAGTCGAATATTCTAGGTGCCTTCCTGTCTAAGTGCCTAGACACATTTTTAGTTCTAGGCTTTGTATCACTAGATTATACGCGCTTGAATTATAGTTTTACTACTCTAATATATGACTGATTTGCCACTTATTTGATTCCCCATCAAGGGATCTATGATACGTGAGTAGATTGACATGTATTGTGATCTAGACATCATAACTATAAAACACCCCATGTAATCTATCACAATTTGTCACGGCTGTTGCTTAACTATTCCCATTTCATAGGCGGCTGGACCGTTGCTTTGTCTCTAAAAGTCTTGTTAGAAATAGCCCTTCTCGGTGAAATTTAGGAATCAACAGAATGCGTACCCTACGTTCTTTGATCGACCTTTTCCACGCAAGACCTCATGAACTCCAATAATTCTTCTGCCTGAGCAGAGTCCGTAGTGCCAAAAGACAGCACGTTGCTTTTCTCCATTAGAATCGTATATAAACGTGCTGGGTTGGAAAGGGCTGAAACAAACCTGATATGGCTATGATTGTCTTGTACACGAAAAATCGGTAGTGTTCCTTGAGGAATGCTCCGTTGCCGATAGGCATTAAAGAAAGCCACAGTAGCATCTGCTGTTTCTTTCCTACAAATCGGAGAATTAACTAGTTAACATTGATTTCTGGAACATGGGTACTTTTGCGTAATTATGACTTACACTTCCCAGTTGACGCTGCCGATGTAGACTGGTAACTGATCGGAGTCTCTGTTCATATAGTCAAAATAAAGAAGCTCACCAAATTTAGTGGGTATATAACAAACTTACAATAATGGCGAACCTTCTGGCAGACACTTGAACAATCCGAGAGGCGATAAAGGCTGTGGGATACATTAGATTATCGAAAAGCTCCGCAAGGGTAATCTCGACCTACCCCCCAAACCGCCTCAGAATCCGATCCGTAATAATGGTGGATGATCTTTTGTCGACGAGGTTTGGTCCTATCGAACCGGAACGGTACACTTAGGTAGATAACTCCCGCAACAGGCGGGAAGATCAACGCTTTCGGCTTCCGTTTCGGATCGCCTGCTCTTTCCAGTCATTAACACGGACAGCCAGCATTAACAAGAGGTCTCTTACCTGCCGCATACAAGTTCATGGCAATGTGGGCCCCACCAGAGGAGTGGCCGAAAAGCACGACCTTCTCCGGTGATCCTCGTCCATATTTTGCGGCTTTAATGTTCTGGAAAATCCATTCCCGAGTAAGCTGTATGTTATCGGCTCCTCCAGGGTACTCGACGTTATACGAGTACAGTGATAAAACCACGTCGGGCAAAAAAGTATCCCACGTTCACCTAGTACTTGTAAACGATAGTTAGTCAAGAAGTCGATAGGAGTACCAGCACTCTAGAAATGACTTACCTTCTCGCTCTATCCTTTGCCACCAGAGGAAAAGCCTCCCCTGTAAAGAAAGAGCACTATCTGCTTTCCCTCTGTGTTGTTCTCGCGAGGAAAATATACGTCTAGTCGATTACGGTCGGCGGGCCCGTACTGTGCATCCTTCGCTGTGCCGACGCTGTCGGGGACTTCGGTAAATAATTGTTCGTACAGTTCTCTCTCAACCTATAGCATGTCAGATTTGCAGAGCGCTCTCCGTTGAGTGGCAATGTAACTTGACATCTTCATTTCCGAGGTTGAATGTGGAGGTATCCTGTGCTATCTTCCTGAAAATGTTTTCCATTATTCCTGTGTCTCAGTTTAGGCTGTAATCTGAAAAAAAGAGAAATCAAGCTGTTATTCCAAATAAACGAGGGGCCACTCGGTAGGGCAGCATCTGTTCTCTGCAGGTTGTAATCTGCCCTTAACCGAAATAAGCCACGTCCTTTCCCGAAGCCACAGCCATGGTCGAAGAGACAGTATGTTCCACAATTGAGGTATGGATTGCATTAGGTGCCATCAACATTTTTACAGACTATCGTTATGTATGTATCCACTTCCTCGCATAACTTGATAGCTGACCGAATACATTTACGTTGTTGAACTTCTTTCAGGATGGTTAACTGTCGTGTCGTTTCCTTGATGCACACTTACCATATTACCCCAATTGACATACCAGAAGCAGCCATCCCACTAGTAGGATGCGCAATAGACCTCGATTCATTCCCCGACGTATTTGCCTCTCGGCAATGCGTTTTGTCGCTAGGCTCCTTTATCCGTACAGTACTACAGTAGGAGGAGGGGAACTCCGGGCCGTCAGGTACATAACCGAACAGCGGTAGAGAAGGTGAGTGCCCTGACATTTGCCCCAGGCCCCCAATCCCAGAGTGAGCCACCGTAGAAATGTGGCGTAATTGTGTTGATGGTGGACCTTTTGGGGTATATCTTTCTACTCTCATTTCAACCGTACCAACCCACAGAGCATTAATTGCGAGATAGCTATCTGGTACATGAACCTACCTGCTAGAAACAGGCTAACGTGTAAGACTTAGACGAGAGACCCGAGGAACTGGCCCGGCAAATGATTGAACGATACTCTAACTCGATTGAATAAAGCAATGACGTTAGCTATCCTATTGCCTCTGCAGCATTTAGTACATACTAATATACTAATTATGGAATGACAACATTCAAATCAAAATCAGAAATTCATGTGTTGATATGAAACCTAGGTGATTCTCGCTTGCCTAGCTGAGAAGAATTAAAGACAAGGCAAAATATAGACGAATAAAAGAATGTAAGGTCGTAAAGAACGGAATGGACCGTTAAGACAATTGAATAAACAACAAACAGCATTAACCTATTGACAGCGCCCACGGCACTACTGGCACAGGAAGCAAAGAGGGGAGAGACTGAGTCAAATTGGTCTACCTAGTACACGAGGACGAAGACGATCTAGAGAAGGAGAAGGAAGAAACAGAGGGAACAAGAGACGGCCCATATGGCCACAAGCACAAAGAAAAGGAAAGGAAGAGGTCTGGTCCTGGCGGGCAATCCCAGGCCAGCTTCCCGCAAGGCCAAAGAAGACGACCAAACCCTGCGAGCCTCGAGGTAAAAGGGAATTAAGTCATCACCTATATCTCACGCAATCACAATTTCTTTGGTGCCGCCTTCTTTTGAGCCTTTAGCCACTCCTGATTGATTCCCTTGTAATCATGAATTGTATAACCCTCAAACATCTCTTTCTTTAGTGTAGGCTTTCTCCAACGCTTGAGCTTAAGATCATAGAGAAGCATATCCACGTAAGGAATAGCATCGTAGACAAACTCTGGATACCACGCAGAGAATCCACATGGATAACGGTGCTTTCCGTAACGACTCAGGAGAGCGGTCTGTTCATACACCTTCTTCTTGTCAATGGAGATTTTCCCATTTAGATAAGCGTACGTCCACAACGCCTGACACTCTGCGATGATAATATTGCTCGTGCTGTGGACCATCTTAATGTATGCAATAGAATTGTCGCCCTTCGTCGCAAGAGATGGAGGTGCAATGCCGCGATACAGTCGATAGGGACTGACATCCTGCTTGTATGGAATGGCGCGTGGGGGACTGAGCAGGTATGGGAAGCGACCAAGTATTTTTTGATCTGCTTCACCGTCTAATCTTTGCCAGAGTTTTTCATCGTCTGCGCTGATATTGCTGGATGGAATGCCCAGGCTGCTATCTAGGCCATCGGGCTTGTAGATAACTGATTGGGCGAGCTTCCATCCGGTGATGGCGACAATCGCGTCTGTGTGCACACTGGTACTATCTGCAAAAGTGACGGTTCCGGGTCCAGATAGGTAGTCGATATCTTTTCGTATGATCTTGACCTGACCGGAGCGAAGGTAGTCATGAATATCGGTGGGATAGTTGAGTATTCCAACTCGCGCAGACCAGAACACACTTTCACAATGTTAATAACGAGCAGTTTGAAAACAAAGCGGGGCCCATACTGACCTTTCGAGGGGCTCGAGGTGCTGCAGGCATTTCTCTTTCCTATATCCGTTCAAATCAACGACATCTGTCCTGATACCTTCCCAGAATTTGTGTACGAAGTACCTTCCTAAGCGGGTTTGATGAAGGGCTTTCCTGAACCAGCTGAATCCGTCAAAGTCACCAAAAATACATGGGCTAAACCATGTAAAGAACCTCATAGTTGCAAGCAACTCTAGCTTTGTTTTGACTCCTCGGAACTTGGCCCATGGGGATGTCATCCAGACTCCACCACCCCCAGACTCGCGAATGACCCAATGTACTTTCTTGCCATTGGATGCCATCAAGTGCACAACGTCGTATCCTGTCTTTGAAGCCCCCACAACGGTAACAAATTCGACATTAGGATCGTGGGCAATGCGTGCTCCTTCCTCACGTAACTGCGAGTGATTGATTATCGGCTTTTCAAATTCGTCCATACCCCGAATGGTTACAGGGTTAGGTGCTGACGACAGCCCGCTGCAAACTATAATCTTATCGCATGTATACACAACCGCGGAGGTTGAGTCGGTCGTAACTGTATTCAGGCGCCAACTCTGGCTAAGCTTTTCAATTTCCAAGACCTGGGTATTGAAGCGAATCCGGGGGCGAATATCAAAGTGGTCCGCAAAGTCATTCAGATAGGAGTGTAGCACGGAGCCCGGGATATGTTTGTCGCCTTTGATGCCGTATTTCTCACCCATGGGGAAATCGGTGAATTCATACGTTCCGCCAAGGTTGTTTGTCTTGAGGCCTTCGTAGCAATTTTCTTCGGCCCAGACACCACCAATAGTTGGTCGCTAAATTCTTCATGTCAAATCATGCGCGAGGAATAAGAGAGATGGTCTGGAACTAACCTTTTCAAGGAGTATGATGTTGGTGTGGGGTGATAATTCAAGGTAGGCTTTTGCTGCGGCAAGACCTCCGACTCCTGCCCCAACCACAATTACCTCAGCAGAGCGGTGTTCAGGTTCCATTTTGATAGTTGAGGTGAGAGAGGACGAAGAACCCAGAAATGTCAAAAGTAGTGTGCAGTGCAGCTTCCGGCGTTTATTAGAAGATACACTTCCGGGGTTTTTTTTATATATCGTTCTCGGCCACTGCGGTTATTTGCCCCTATTCGAGGTCTCGAGCACTACTGCGGCACAGGGCGGGGATGGACTCGGTTGCATTATCGCGTAAGTACCATGTCATCGAGGCGCGAGAAAGGGCAGAGCCGAATTACTATTGAGATAGGGGCAGTACCCTATCAACCACAGCACGAGGTTAGAACTTACGTACTCTTTGGCGCGGGACTAATAGGTTCCCTGTACTCCGTAAATGCGAGGCGATCCTTGATCACAAGGTCGAATGGTTCAATCGATAGCCATAGTCACCATCCTGGTTATCAACTCGCCCCACATACCACCGAATCGGATATAGATAACATTATTGCGTGTTATGTACTCCGTGGCCGTGTGCCGATCGTAGGTAAATGGGTGCCACTATTATTATTCAGGGGACTTTGATTATTACGCGATTTTGGATGGGGTGATCGGGTCGGCCAGGAAATACGTGAATTAAAAACTTATGCGTCGTCACTGTATCTCCTGTCCGCTCTTCTCCACTGAAGCCCCACTCGCTCCGGCGTGATCGCCCTGTGGCCCCGGTCTCCTGTAAATTCGGGCTTCTCCGAGAGTTGTGTCACGGAAGCTCAAATATCCCGGTGTTACCTCCCCACAGTCACTCAAGGCTTTATTTGCCTCCTAATTCACTCATTAAACCACTCCCTTCGCACTAGCGAGGATGCCGCTGGCCAGGATACCCAGTCTTGTAATTATTGTGACGAAAGACCCAAATAAGTCAGCTTCAACATCGTGGTCTGCCGTTCATGAAAGCTAGGTTAGAGTTTCCTCGGATTCCGACACCGGAGCTCACATTGCTGAAGCGCTCGAGCAATTTCAGCCGGTTAAACAAGGTCGACAGAATATCAACTATCCAAATCTGGACTAGGAAAAGGACCAAAAGGGCCCGCAGCGAGCTCGTCCAGGATCATTTGTAGACTCATTAGTTAGTAACTGTAAGGGTACACGGTGTAGGAGGTTGATTCACAAAAGTTCAATGTTCTAGCAAGTCTAACCGACTAGAGCCAAGAAGAGAGTGAAGGAAGATTGAAAGTTTTTGAAAATAATATGATAAAAGATTTAGGCTCAGGCTACTGACGCCAACTTTACCCCTTTCGGATAGGCTTATCTATCGGCAAATTGAGTGATTGCCCAATTCCCGCTAGGCCTATTACTTTGCAAAATCCTCTACGAGCCCTTTTCATTGCCTTCCTTCTTAAGAAGATAGGAGTGTGGAAGGCAGGTGCAATGGGGTGTTTTTCTCTAGAGCAAAATAGAATTCTATCAAATTCATAACCGGTACTGAATAGCTTGTATTATCTCGTGAACGATGAGAAAGAAAGTAATAATGAGGGCTACGGCGGGATTCCGTAGGCAGGAACTATACGTTTTTCTATACTCCATGTGCCGATAAGGCGGCTCAATCCGAAAGGGGTAAAGTCTGTCGTGCCAGTCGTTCATTGGGGAGAGATCCACTGCGGAGGGACGGAATGGCCATTCCCGCCTCTAACAGCGTCAACTTGTCAACTAGACAACTTGGTAAGGTTCCTCGCTAATCTCGCTGTCGGTCCACGGCAGGGAGGGGTAATCGAAAGAGCTGACCACCGAGTTCTGTTCTGTTCTCCATTGTTATGCTATGAAATAAAGTCAAGGTGGAATGTGTGGGGGGATGCGGAATTCTAATTCCGCGCATTGCAGGCAAGTTAGCGTGCGAGTAGCCTTAGCCAAGACCTACTAATGGAACCGATGAAAAGTTTCAGTTAGACATACTCTAGATACTTCAATTTCCTCTCTTTTAGGATACCTTTCTAGATATATTTCAAACCGATAGTCTTAGAGTTATCCCTCACGTCATCTTTTGAATAATAACTGGTAGGATGACTTTAAGGGTCAGGTTTTAGTCGAAGGTAAGTACACCCGTGCGCTTTCACGGATTTAAATGTGAATTATGCAATATCTATCATAAGTATGGTTCCGGGAGGACCATGGCCAATTATTCCTACAAAGCTCTGTTCTATACAGGCTCGCTGCCTAGCAGACAACCAAGCGTCGTTATTCCTGTGAAGCCCAATTTGATCCGTCACAAGTTTGCAATTATGCCAGTGGCAACTTCAGTGCGTTAAAATCGCGGTAGCTTGAATCGTCTGCTTAAATACTGCCCAGCTGCCGGAACATCGTCCTCTCGATAGAAAAGCCTCGTATGTGAACTACTACTGCCTATAGAGCGGATGATTAGCAGTGCGACGTACTGTTAGGGCTGGCGGCTAGCTGTATCTCTCCAGGTTACGTAGGGACCTGCCCTGTTAGTCTACAACATGCTTTGAATACTAGTTGTTAGTTGTTCTGAAGGGCCTCAATAGGCGTGGAAAAATCAGACCAATCTTCGTTTCTCTACCTACTAGGATTGAGAGAGATGAATATACTCCCAAGTTACTTGAAGAGAACTTCTTCCTTAGCACCCGCTTTTATCGACTGTCCGAAGTTCTTAGCGACCGCCTGGGCAACATACTCGCCAACGGTTATGGGGGAACTAAAGATTTCAAGGTCAGTCAAAGGAACTCTTATATTGGCATTGGCTTGCGACATACTATTTTTTCAGCGGTCCCTGCAGTACGAAGTCGCGCCTCCCTTGATTGAAGTAAGCAATTGAGTATCGAGACGGCGACATACCCTCGTCTTTGGCCCGCACTCGGTGAAAGTTGGATTTCAAACGGTCATCGGACCACGCCACTTTGAAAACGTATTTGTGTTAGCTAAGCGACTGTAAGGTTGGACTTGTCCAGTTTCTCCACTCACTGAGCATGTCTCCAATATTGACGACAATGGGACCTGTTTCAGCCGGAAGAGCAGTGAAGACATCGCCACTTGCAAAACTAGAATGGCTTTCTCGGCCTGGGCAGATTTCAAGTCCGTCTTCTCCATCGCGCTGGAACAAAAGAGTAAGACATCCAACATCAGTGTGACTTCCGGCTCTCCATGTTCCGACAGCTTTTTCGGACGCTGGGTAGTGTATTAGTCGAAGTTGAGTCATGCAGTCCGGTTCAGAAGGATCGTTCGCTATCTTAAAATAGTTTTCTTCAAACCCAAGAGCAACGGCAAAGCATGTTACTAGATAATGTCAACAAAGATCTCCTACTAGGAGGGATTTTCACAGATTTACATACAAACCTGGTCGGAAATGCCGGCACATTTTTTCATGAATTCACGGGTCGTATCATGAAACCCCGGCACATCATCATCACTCGGCCAATCAGAGTTTCGTTGGAGCCAAAGCGACTCCTTCTGGTCGTATGTGCCGGTACTGGGACGCAACTGGGCCTAAATCAAAGGAGTAAATATCAACTTGCTGGCTCAGGAGGTGGTTCAGGAGCTTACCTTATATTCCCATCCGTTGTTTGTTATGGGATTATGGGCTGTTTTTCCCTTTATCTCGGCTGGGAGATTGAAGAATGTTTTAGAAATGGAGAATTGGGCCTCGATTTCTGACTTCGAAATGCCATGATCAACCAAAGTGAAGAAGCCAACATTTTCGGCTGCTTCGATTAGCTTTGCTGTGATCTCGTCCCTGCGTTGCTCAAATTCTGATATATATGTGAGTTTGGTTTACGGCATGAGGGATGATCGAGATCTCACCTCTAAGCGAAATGACAGGAACCTGTTTTTCGGCCATGATTGTTCTTTGTAGCTTTGTTATTTTTGAAGTTTTGTGTTGAATATGCGAGAGAGCCTTTCAATGAGTCATCTTTATACCTTGCTGTGACTGGTGCCATCGGCAATGTACCACATCTGCGTGTCGCTGACAATACCCAAAGCGAGATCGTGGAAAAAGGGTATGGGAATGAACTTTTCTAGTATTAGACCTACAGGCTCTCTCTATTGTTCCATGGACCCAAATCCGAGAAGGCGGGGTAGAGCAAACTCAAACAGAGGAGGCGCCAGATTACCGGTGATTCGTGGTGCGGGTTCCGAGGCTTGCCTTATCATGAGGTGCTCGTCGTGCTGATTACGATTGCTTCGGTTACGTACCTGGCTGTCCTCGATAACGGATTGTAGGTATTATCGAAATGTATTTATCTAGATGAAGGAAAGGCGAATTTCCTGATGAAGGAGACATGAGTCGTTGAAAGACCATTCTACTTTGACTGGACCGGCAGTGAAGATGATCGATCTCAAAATGAAATCTGCCAAGGTTAGTAATTCCCCTACAGCGGTGCAATGGTAAAAGACTTAGCCCATGGCATTTCATTTTAGACAGACATTCTAAACACCGAGAAGAACGTCGAAAAGGGTGCAGGAGACTCTATCAACATGACAGGCAGAGACAAAGCCTTGAACTTGCTGGCTAATCATCATATTGCTTTTGACCCCAATTCTCCAGAGGCAAAGCGAGTTTTACGAAAGATTGATATGCGTATCTTACCAATGATATTCGTCATCTATTGTCTCCAGCTCATGGACAAAAATAGCTTGTCATATGCTGCAATTATGGGCCTCAAAAAAGACACACATCTCACATCCTCACAGTACTCTTGGCTGGGGTCACTAGTGTAGTAAGTACTCCGTTCTAATTTTCCAGGTTCAGAAAATCTGAAAGCAAGAATCAGAGGTAGCTGATGAAAATTACTGATTCCCATTGGCTATAACAGTTTTGGCTACTTAGGCGGTGACATCCCTGCGACTTTTCTTATGCAACGGCTACCCCTATCCAAGTACTTCAGCATCATGTGTATGATATGGGGAGCTATTGTTGCATTACATGCAGTGTGTCATGACTTTTCCTCCTTGGCTGCTGTCCGATTTTTCTTGGGTGCTATCGAAGTCTCAACGGTTCCCGTGGCTATCCTCATCACCAGCGCCTTTTACACAAAGGAAGAACAAGTCACAAGAGTCGCAATTTGGTACACAACATCCGGATGGGCAGCTGTTTTTGGGGGGTTTCTTTCATGGGTAATGTATCATGCAAATAGTTTTCGATGGCAGGGGGTTTTTGTACTTTATGGGGCTGTGACGTTTGTGACTGGAGTTTTCTTATTTCTGTTCCTTGCAGCTTCGCCAACCGAAGCTAAGTGGTTGACTGAGGAAGAGAAAGTGATTGCTCTTGAACGAGTGAGAAGCAACAAAACCGGAACTGAGGTCTGGAACTTCAAGGCGTCACAGCTTCGGGAATCTTTGCTTGATGTGCGCTTGTATCTGATTTTCCTGATGCAAGTGTCGGTTGGGATGCCTAATGGTGGAATGACTGCTTTCGGTATGCTGTTTCGTGATTTTGAGGTATTATTACGTAGCAATGCTAATTTTCTGGCCGTCTTTGCAGGTCCGACTATCGTCAATAACTTTGGCTACGACGTGCCGACCACACAGCTCCTGAACATGGGTTCTGGTGCGGCTCAAGTCGTTGGCACTGTCCTCGCTCTATTCGTTGCTAAATGGACCAACCGCACCATAGCTGGCGTGTACACACTTGTTCTCGCATGTATCGGAACAGCTATGATGCTTGGAATTCCGAGCTCGAACAATAATGGTCGTTACGGTGGTTATGTGCTTGTCTATCAATGTTCGTTCCTGTGCCCTTCCTAGTTGTTGCCGCCTACTTGTTTACCTTTCTCGGGCGCATAACTAACAATTTACAGTCCCGATTTGCGTTTTGTTCATGATCACCTTTATGACTGCAGGTATATCTGGGTCCACAAAAAAATTTGCCTTTGGGTGCGCCTATCAACTTGGCTATGCGGTCGGCAACATTATCGGCCCCCAAACATACAGAGCAAAGAGTGCACCTGATTACTACGTGAGCACAGCAGCAAATCTCTTCAGCGAATTACTTAACCTGACTCAAATAGCCCGCAAAATACACCATGCTTGCATTCCTGGTCTTCACCGCCATCTTAATTTCTTTTTATGGCGCGCTTCATCATCGATGGAATAAACGAAATGAAAAGCGTGGGACGGCTTCTGTGCCAGGTATGTATCCTTCGCTTCAGGCATTACATGTATATGCTAACTTTATCAAAACACTCAGACGGGATTGAAAATGAAGAATTTGCCGACCGCACTGATTTTGAGCAGAGAAACTTCCAGTATCCATTGTAGAAACCTGATCGGATTCTCAGTCCGTCGGCGCATATTTATAATTCAATAGAATCTCCTTTTCTTTTCTTGTGCTTCGGCTTTTAGGGATTGACTTAGAAAATCTCACGTTATTGCAGTATCTTATAAGATCCGGAAATCTGCCTTTTGAGTGAAGGGGCTAGCATACACGCGGTACAGATCGTCTTGTACAGTATAAACCGTTAGTTAAGCCTCGTCACTCCCGCATGACTCGCGACATATTTGACAACTTCCACAACATATTAGACGACACTAGGTTCCTTGGCCACGGGTATCTACTACACATATAGTGTCGCAAAATGTGGAGTGGTGCTTACCACTACTGTACTATATTCTGGTCGTGTCGTGGCCAATTCATTTTTGTATGTGGTTTTGTAGATGTTCGCACAAATCGGTGGTACCATCTATTTGAACCCGAAGTCCAACTCCACTACACAAGGACACTCCAGCGTGCTTCTGGATAAATTTTCTTCTTTCTTGAATTAATTAACCCTTTTTATCCAATACTGAATCAATCAATTCCATTCCCCCCATTCGTCAATTGTGCCTACTCGTCAATGCGGTGGCATACCTTCTCAGAGTTAGTTAGCAAGCATCTTTCTTTATTAGCGATTTTAAATAGCGCCATTCTGTCCTATAGCACGCTAGCGCCTCTTCGGTCTCTATTGTAGGAATCCAACTAGTTAAAGTTTAAGGTGCTTCTGCTATCTAGACTACTATAGGCTCGCTAGATAAGTTCCACTTCCTCGAAAATAAGCTTAGTATCGCGAAAGCGTTCTACTGCAAGACAGACGACTAGGCAGCCGAAACTTAAGAGCTCACTAGTAGTGTTACTCTTTTAAACGACTTTATTAGAGCACCTTATCTTCAGGCTAATCTAGATATTGCGGCAAGGGGTAGGCGCGTCGTGCTTTTAGGCCATATCGGTAGGGAGAAGTTACCAGATAGTGTAAACATTACGCTATTACTATTTACACGGCTTCGCGTGGAGGCCAGCAGGCCTCGCAGTCGGGATTAGGATTATTACTAGCTAAGGTTGAGAGATGTTTTGGTTCATTATGCGTTGCCAAAGTTCTGTGATACGTCATTTGAAGTTCATGTTAAGAACTTTTTTGCATTTAGGGAGATTGTGGAAGCACATCAGTTATTGAGGGTAACCAAACAAAGGGCAAGATCATTTACATAGTACGGGCTTAGTAGGTCAATATGATAGCGACGTGGGCACCAGGTACGTCGTCTGATCTAGAGCACGACTATGCAACGAGTAAAGTGACTATTAAGACGATAGATATCTTGATATAGCTTGTCAATGTGGAAACAACACCAAAATCGGTGAAACAGCTTGTGCGCCGAATTATGCGGCCACACCACGGTAGAAATATGGAAGAGGCTGGAGCTAACACGGAACTGCACTTTTTTGAAAACTTGATATCAAGCCTCCATTGTGTGCTGAGTATGATTGGGCTACACAATACGCAGATTCGTTACTCGTCAAGATATATTCAGCCTTCTATAGTGTCGTCCCTAAACCATCAACGATGATCAATCAATCAATCAATCAACACTCTATTGACCTGTTGCAGCCTAACTAGTGGCGTAATGGCTATGCAGGCGCTTCCTCCGGCGGAAGCAAGAGTGATCCGAATGCCAGCCCGCGCGCATGAAACAGTCGATACATAGGAAAACGAAGTATTGCCATATAAGATCAACCCAAAAACAGTACCAAAACGCCTGTAAAGCCCTCAATCCCACAGTAACTCTCTCATTATGCCCTCACATTGGCCTGCTGCTTCCTCTGCATCTCCATCTCTGCCTTCCTTCTTCGGCATCACCATCCTCCTGCTTCGGTCTCGATTAGTGGCGTTCGTTGGTGTTGGATGTAGTCTTCCAGGACTTCTCGGTCGGCCTTGGGTTTGGCGTTCCCAATACCCATCGTCTTCACCCCCTACGCCTGCCAGTCTATCCTGGCTCGTTGTTTTCGTCGCCTGTTGGTTCTGGTTCTATTTCAACTTGGCGGAACTGCCCCAGAAGGCCTTTGTGTAACATGAATTCGACTACATAGCGGGTAGCCTACGAGTGCGATACAATCGCATCGCAATCCGTCGAATTTCCAAGATCGGTCATGCTGATCTTATCAAGGAAGGTCTTCCGCAGATCAGCGTATAACGGGCACTGTATTAAGATATGTCTCGGTGTTTGAGAGCCCTCGCTGTAGTAACACTGATCCGAGTCTGCCGCAGTCTTAAACAAGAAATCATTTAATGCGATACGCATAGATCGCATCTGAATCAGAACGGAGGTGTACGGTTTCGAGAGAGATTCGAATAGCCTAAGCACCTTATCTGGAGCTTTGACCAACCGTTGGTTCAGCTTGCCAGTTCGCTCTTTTGCCCACTCTTGTACTTACCTCTCTTTAATTCGCCGCCGCACACGGCGTTTCGCGGTCGCTGCTAGAAGGACGCGACCGTCCGCGGATCCTATAGCTGCCGTGTTAGAACAGAGCTAAGTAATCCATATAGGTGCACTAATAGAAATCACAATGAGTCTGAATTGCTAATAAGCCCCTAGCTGGCAATTTGGATAGGTTAAATATATAACTAATCTTAGTGGATCTATAGAATCTCCGTATTCCGGTATCCACTAATCCTGCTACTCTAACACACCCCCTTAGCGGCTAGTAAGTGTTGAAATTCGCTATTTCTATTAAATACGAGATAGGCGCTGATTCCCTATAGTAGTCTCTCTCTTTACTATCACTTACACTTCGATTAAGTGTTAGATATCTTCTATACGCAGTAGCTTAACGAACTACTCGTGTTTCTAGCGTAGTAGGATCTTTATAAGGCCGTCTACTACTATTTTAGTAGTAAGAACCTATTTAACCGCTATCTTTTCTACGCTAACCTCTTATCTTAGCTAGTATCTATAGATATCGACGTGTCGAAGCTTAGTATCGATTTTAGCGTATTCCGAGGTTAGAAGATTAACGGTTTATTAATTATTATAGCGTAAGGTAATAGTATAGTTTAGTTTAAATTAGATTCGGCCGAAGAACCGCTTCTACTACTATAGTAAGCGTATCGCGTCTAATAAACCTAGTAACTTAGCTTCTATAGTAGAAGTAGTAATAGTAGGCAATTTAGTGACCTTCTAATTAACTAGTTCTCTATAAGCTTAGTAGATATAGCCTATAGAGCTTCGCCGGTTAGCGTTATTAGTAAAGGATATATTACTTACTAGTTTAATAGATTATATATCTCCCTTATTACTAAATTAGATAGTAAGGAAGCGGGTAGTGTTGAGATAGTATATTACTCTATTAATTACTTTCTAGTACTATAGGCTAGGGTTTCGAAGAAACTATAATAGTTTAGCGGCTACTTTCGCTATATCTAGCCCAGTAATTATAGTTAGATACTAAACTAAGCTAACTTTCGCTTAGTATAGCCTAATTTCTTCTAGATTAGCTATTCTATTACATAGTAATATCTCTTTAATAGGTAATAGCGTATATACTAACGGCCGATTAGCTAGATTATAGCGGGTAATAATACTACTAATATATATACAGTCAACTCCCGCTTATGGCACGCCCGGATTTAGCACACATCGGGTTCTGGCACACATTCTTCGTGGACGGACCCACTTTTCCCCCTTTTCCCATATATATAGACCACTTATGGCACACTCAGTTATAGCACACAGTTTTTCTCTCCTATATCTGCTTAGTCATATAGCTTGACCAATCACGATGGAAAATTCAGTCGCCCTTTCGGCCAAGATGCCTACCATAAGGCGAGGTAGGAAGGGCATATCTGACGCTCAGAAACAGGCTCTACGCGTCTACGCATCCGAAACACACCCTACACCTTCTCAGCGAGCCTGCGTTAAGTGGTTTCGGTCCCAGTTTGGTCGCCTAATTGATCGGGCTACTATCTTAAAGATCCTTTCATCTAAATACTAGCATCTTAATGCTAGCCTAGCTGGTCTAAATATGCGCTTATCGACATCGCATTGGCCTATATTAGACCAAGCTCTCTTTGAATGGCAGTAAAGACACTAGGATGCCGGCTTTCCTATAATAGGCCCGTTACTTCGGCTTAAAGCTATCGAGTATTGGAAGAAAATACCCGAATATACTGAAAGCCCAGTGCCCCTTTTCTCTAATAGATGGCTTACTCGGTTTAAGTAACGTTATTCCCTCCGTTATCATACCTTCTACGGTGAATCTACATCGGCCCCGACCTCGATACACGACGAGATAAAACCTATTCAGGCGATCTGCGATCAATATCAACCGGAGGATATATATAATATAGATAAAACTAGGCTTTACTAGCGCCGTATGCCAAACGGTGGCCTATCAATAGATGGTTATACTAGTCAAAAGAGAGATAAGGCCCGGATCACTATAGTAGTTTCGACGAATATTACTAGTTCGGACCGAATACCTCTATAGCTAATTGGTATAGTAAAGACACTACGCGCTCTTCGGGGGGTAAATATCCGAGTAATTAGATATACCTAGCGCTAGAATAAGAAAGTATAGATACGCAGTAGTATTATAGGAGAATAGCTTCGCGCGTTTTATAAGTATATTAGTAAGTAACGACGCGTTCTGCTATTGCTAGATAATTTTAGCGCGCATCTATACGCGCTTAAATCTACGCCGCCCCCGTCTAATATTAAGGTGTTATTTTTCCCGGTAAATGCGACATTAGTTTATCAGCTACTAGATTAAGGAATCATCCAGAATCTAAAGTACTATTATCGGAGGAAATAGATAATATAGATAATTAATATCCTTAACCGGAACCTTAATCCGAATAAGAAAATAAGCCTTAATTATACCCTCCGCTAGCTTACCTAGGCCTAGCGAAATAACGTTCTTAATCAGACTATACAGAACTACTTTATTAAGAGCACTATCGTTAGTCGCAGCACTAATTAGACGCAAAGTATACTAACACCAGAGCCGCTTA